AATAAATAAATAAAAATACTGTAGGGCTCTTGCGCCTGTGGCCCTCAGGCTTATTTTTGGTTAAACATTCTTCTAGGTCATATAGCCTTTGTCCTGTCCACTTTCTGTACAGAGGTAACTCATGGTTGCTGTGAAGCTGAACACTGTGACACTGATGTGCCAAATGCAATAATGGTTACCCATGGTGGGCAGTGTTTGGTGGAGCTCCCCGATTAAAACAAGCTTAAAAGCAGGAGTGGCATCCACTTTCGAAATAGCTTGCCTCCAGAAACCCTATGAATCTGGAAAAAGGATGAAAGTTACACAAGTGTCCAGGTCTTTCATTCTTAGGGTCACGGTGAGTTGACTACAACTCCACAGCACTTAATAACAACAACAACAAAGCCAACTACCTATTAAAAATAATTTTTAAGTTGTTACTTTAAAAAAAATTCTAGGGGGTTTAAGGACTCTCTGAGAGGCAGACAAAGATAGACACAATTCTCAAAATCCCATTACAAAGCTGGTCTGTGCCATTTCTGAGCACAGACATATGTTTTGCATCCTAGGCACACTGACAGTGGACACTCGACATTGCTGCTAGAACCATCACCACCACTGCCTTGGGGATCTGAGTGCATTATTAAGCCATCACAAAAAAAAAACCTGCCATGATCTCCTTTTAAATTAACTGAGGTTAAATATCTTACCCAAAGTATGCCAGTATCAAGTACAGGATTGTGATATAAACCTAGGTAGCGTGACTCCAAAGCCATCACAACTAATTGCTACCCTGTACTGTAAAGGCATTCTTAGTAACTCTTTCACCCTCTTTATATAATCGTAGGATATCTTTATAGTCTAATTTGCCAAGCTTTATTCTATAAAGATGGAATTCTGCTGATGCAATGCTTAAGCTCTTGGCTTCTAACCAGAAAACCAGCTGTTTGAACCCACCAGCTACTTTACAAGAGAAAAGAACTAGAGATCTGGTCTGTCATATAGCTTTGGTATGAACCAAACAAGAACTGATTTGATAACACACAACAACAACATTTTATATTGGGATGTCCATGACTTTATCAGAAAAAAAATAATGGATTTGACAGTAGATCTCTTTTTCTGGATTCAGCCTTTATTTGCTTCCAAATCTTTATCAAGACAATGTAAATAGTTCTAGTAGGGCTTCTCTGGATAATCCTTAAAGACTCTGAGTCTATGGACCAGCAACTTCTCCAAGGTTCAAAGCCTTCTCTATCTAAGGGGTTTCCAGATACACTTAGAATTTTTTTTCATTCTGAAAAATAAGATCTTATTACAAAATTTTAATTACATTTTAATTGAATAATGGTAAAACCCTGCTTGCTGAAGCTGAGGAGGACCTGAAGCACTTGCTGCAGAGGGTCAAGAGTCTGCTGTTAGAGACCTCTCCAGAGAACTGAAGAGCAATAGTGTCACTCTGGAGACTAAGGTGTGTCTGATACAGGCCATGGTCTTTGCAATCACTTGTTATGCATCAGAGAGTAGGACAATGACTAGGGAGCATAGAAGGAGAATTGCCTTTGAGCTGTGATGCTGGAAAAGAATATTGACTGTACTGCTGAGGCAGCTCTTTTAGAGTAACTAAAGAGCAAAGAGACCTTACTTTTTGAATTGCATATTTTTGCAATATTGAACTTTTAATTTCTCCTTCTTGCCTTCCATCATGAAGTATTACTGTCAAGGGTTATGTGTGAGAAAGTAGGGAGAAGACTGTGGGTGGTAGGCAGCAGCCACATTCAGGGCAGATCAGGAAGAACACATATATAGCCATGGCTGGCTAAACTGAGGCAAAGCATTCGTTAGGGCCAAGAGAGGTAGTAGTAGAAGATTGGGTTGCAGACAACTCGACGACACATAACAACAATAACAACATGTGTCATGGTTGTACCCTTTCAACATGTGTCATGGTTGTATGTCATGGTTGTATCCTTCCTTTACACCTATTCAATATGTATTTGGAACAAATTATTCAAGAAGCTAGTCTCTATGAAGAAGAATGTGGCATCAAGATCATAAAAAGACTCATCAGTAGGGGAGCTCTGGTGGCCTAGTGGCAAGAAGCTGCAACTACAATCCCAGAGGTACATGGTTCGAATCCACCAGATGCTCTGCCGGGGAAGGAGGGGCAATCTCCTCCTGTACCAGTCAGATCTGATTTGACAGTACACGCACACAAAAATAATAATAATAAAAAAAAGACTCATCAGTAACCTAAATTATGCAGATGATAAAACTTTGCTTGCTGAAAGTGAGGAGGACTTGAAGTATTTGCTGCATAAGATCAAAGAATACAAACTTCCATATGAATTGCATCTCAACATCAAGAAAATAAAAGAATTCTCACCACTAGACCAACAGATAATATTATACTAGGCAGAGAAAAATATTGAAACTGTCAATGATTTCATTTCACTTGGATCTACAGTCAACCTCCTTGGTACCAGCAGCCAGGAAATCAGGGGACATATTGCATTGGAAAAGTCTGCAGTCAGAGATCTCTCCAAATTATTGAGGAGCAATGATGTCAGTTTGAGGACTAAGGTATACCCGATTCAGGCCATGGTCTTCTTAATCACTTGTTAAGCATGAGAGCTAACAATGAATAAGGATGACAGAAGAAGAATTGATGCCTTTGAGCTGTGGTATTAGAGGAAAGTACTGAATATCCTATGGAATGCCAAAAGAACAAACAAATATGTCTTGGAGAAAATGCAGCCAGAGTGCTCCTTGGAGGCAAAGGTGATAAAGCTTCACTTCACATACTTTGGACATGTTGCTAAGAGAGGCTATTCCTTGGAGAGGGGCATCATGCTTGGAAAGGTCAGTGAAAGAGGGGGAGACCATCAATCAGATGGATCAACACAGTGACTGAAACAATGGGATCAAGTATATCAGAGGTTGTGAGGATGATACAAAAATAGGCCAGGATTCAGATCTGCTGTTCATAGAGTTGTTATGGGTTGCATTGAACTCAACAACACCTAACAACAATATTCTCTCCAGCCAACTAACCAAAAGAAAGCTCTTAAATCACATCCTTACAGCTTATGAACAGAGGAAAAAAAAAGGTTTTCTTTCCTGAGCGCAATTCCAAACATCTAAGGAGAGTGTTCCATCGTCAGTCACATGCTGCTCCCCAAAGCAGTCAGTATGAGCAGAGATGATATGTTAGGATTGGCTTATCTTGAGTCAGATCCTTATTAAGAATGAGACTGATTAAACTACCAAACTGATTTAAGACACTATTAGATTACTGCTGTTTACAAACAGCCTAGAGAATGGATTTTATTTTTTCATATAATAGCCAACAGAATGTTGAAAATATATTTAAAACAGTAAAACATCACTAGATGCTTTCATACCTTAAAGGTTTTTATCTGATCCATTACTGTAGAGCACATAGTAATAGTAGGATTTGCTATTTTTGGTTCTTCTTCAAGTTTTTCTTCCATCAGAGATCGCCTTCTTGCTGTCTTCCTTTTTTCTTGTAACTCTTTCTTTTGTTTTGTTTGGAAAAATTTCAGTGTCTTAAACATTTCTCGGGAAAATTCATCTACATCTGCTTCCATGCTTTCCCCATTGAGGTCCAAAAAACCACCATCCATCCACCTGAAATTAAAAGTTTAAAAAATTACATTGACTGCATATCCATACTTATTGCTCTATTATTCACAATAGCAAAGAGATGGAAGCAACCCAAGTGCCCATCAACATACAAATGGATAGAAAAACTATGGTACATTCATATGAAGGAATATTACACAGCACTGAAATACTGAAATACGGTTAACTCATAACACACTACACAAAACACTACATAAAACTCGCACTACAAGGGAGCTCTGGTGGCCTAGTGGCAAGACGCTGCACTGCAATCCCAGAGGTACACGGTTCGAATCCACCAGATGCTCTGCTGGAGAAGGAGGGGGCAATCTCCTCCTGTACCAGTCAGATCTGATTTGACGGTATACATAAAAATAATACAATAAAAAAATTAAATGTGGGTTATCCCATCCAGAAATTAAAGATTTATCATACTCTACTTAAAAAAAACACAAACGAAAACAAAAACAAAAAAACTACGCACTACAGGTGAGTCTGGAAGACATTACCCTGAGTGAAATATCTCAGTAACAAAAGGACAAATACTGAATAACACTGTTGTTATAGGTAGAACTGACATGGTAGGGCTGGAGGGAGAACAGGAGAAGAATGAATAGCTAATAAACACTGCATTGGAATGAATGAAAGGAAGAACTATCAGAGAGGAATGTATAATTAGACATATGTATGAAAACAATCTGGAACAGGAGGTGCATTGCAAAGTGGACTAGGGGAGTGAGAAGACTGGGACAGGGAGGAAAATGTGCAACAATGAATTGATGAAAATCCAACCTCTTGTAAATCTCTCTTAAAATCACAAGAAAAACAAAAATTTACATTGAACTGAGAGACTTTTGATGTCTGCGCTTATAGATTTCAGACAAAGAAACAACTGTGGGTGATCAGTTACCAGTTTTTCTTAGTTACACTGTAAAGTTGGTAGTACAGAGACAGAACTAAAAACATCCTTTCACCTTTACTGCATATGCTAAATGTGTATCAGATTTGAAAATATGAGACTGAATAAAGGTGTCCAAACACAATGCCACATTTGACTCTACATTTCTAATTTGTAGTGCAAGCATTAGCCAAATCAAGCAGTTGTGTAAAAGTATTAACTGATCCTAGAAAACCAAAATGAGACTTCAGATATTCTATTAAAAGTTAGGTGGTACTTCAGCATAATTTGATGCTTCTCTCAAATTATATTGATTCACTTTAAAATTGATAGATTAAATCCTACTTAAAACACTCAAGGAAGAGAGGCTGGAGAGTATTATGCTGAGTGAAGGATAACTAGTAAAAATAAAAGGACAACTAGTAAAATGTGTATAAAAGTCCAAAGGGGAAGGGGAAGGAGCAGGGAAGTAGGGGAGAGGAAGCCATGTGGTCACAGAGTTTAGTGGGCAGATAGAGAGGATGAAGGAATTAGGAAAGACCCAATGGGGACATGAAATGATGAAATGATAGTAGGAATACATCAATGGTGATTAATTTTCTAAAACACAATGTATGGGAATGATCTTATGAAACACAATATGAATGATGTGTGAAACATAATTAAAAAAATCTCCATAAAATAAAGTTATATTCTTTTTTATATCATTTCCTTCATTTTTTTAATGACATCAACAGAAATATGAATTACCGTTTCTCTGTTCGTTGCCACTTCAATACTAAATTAAAAAATTTCTGATAGGGCTCAATGTTAACTTTCAATTTGTCCAGTTCAGGATATTTTGTCAATTCCCACTTGAAAAGCTCCTCTTCTTTATTAATAAACTGAACTGCCTCCTCAGAATCCTGAATGCGTTTCTGCAGTTGCCTCACGTCTGTCACATACTAAAAGCAAATAGTTTTTATCTCAATAGATAGGCAGATACTGTTATAAAAATAAGATTATATTATATAGTACAAGGTTTATGTCCTCAAATGCACATAGCAATTTCGAATATTAACTTCATAGTTCTGTAACAACATATTGGCACACGAAATTATTTTTTAAATTACGTTATATCTACATCACAAATAGAAAACTGAATTTTAAAAAAGAAAAGATCACATACACAGGCCTAAGAGTCAGGCCCCCATTTGCTATAGTAAGACATACTATATTTTTTAAATTATGTAAATAAGTATTATATTAGCCTAAGGGGTGAACATAGGCTCATCCCGTTCTCACACCTGCTGCATGCGTTCCAGCTCTGCAAACTCCGTGAATTCTTCCATGCAACGTGACTGCTTTTCTATTTCCAAAATCAGTTTTTCTCTCTTGGCTATTAGTTCATTTTCTCCTTTTAGCTTAGCAGCCTCAATGAGCTTTTTCAAAGACAATTTAAATCATGTTAATTACTTCACTACAAATAAAAGGTAGTCAAAACAGAAATCTAAATGCATTGTAGAGTAACAAAATTGTCTGAGAAGCAAAAACGGGTTCAAAAATAAAGCATTTACTATAATGATTGATGTAACAATGCAGAGAATAAACCACTCAGGAAACCCTCCTAACGTTTCAAATAAGAGTTGTGAGAATTGCTTTTTAAATTGTTGGTATGTACCATGAAGTCAGACCTACCCCTATCTAACACTACAGTGGATTTTCAGAGGCAGTTAATTGCATGGAAGAGCTTGCCCATCTTTCTTCTGCAGAGCAGCTGGTGATTTCAAACTGCAAGCCTCTGGGTGAGCAGTGCAACTCATTACCACTAAGCTAAAAGAGTTCTCTTTTAATTAGAAAGTTTAATTATTTAACAGATTCTGGATTAATAATAAAAAGACAAATATAATCATCACATTTTATGTGTCAAAACTATTAAACACCTGACCTCATTAGTATTCTGCTGCTGATGCTCATTTTAGAAATGATAAAATTGAGAGATCAAGAGACAATTCCCCAAACCACAAAACAGTAAAAGTTGAAAATTGGTTTGGAAGCGAAGTCTTTTGGAGGAAACAGAAACCAACATCTCAAAGGTAATTCATCCCTTTCATTACCTTGTCACATCATCCCCTAGTTTAAAATAAGCTGGTTTATATAAAGACTTTTTCAAAATTTTAACTATATTATTCAGTATGATGTAAAAACGCTTGATCTGCTACTTTTTATTTCTGTGATATTGAACAAATTGTTTCACTTCTCAGGGTCTCATTTTCCTCATCTACAAAGAGGGGAAAGACTTGAGCTTTGTGAATATCAAGTGATTAAATAAATAGTAAACCCTTACCATAGTACTTGCTGCTATTTTAATTAATTTGCATAATAGCTCTTGCTTCTCTAAAAGTATACAGCAAGTGTATAGACAGATTGAATGTGAGCACTGTGCTAAAAAATGTCAGAATAGAGGGAGTTCTGGTGTACTAATGGCAAGATGCTGCTCTGCAATCCCAGAGGTGCATGGTTCAAATCCACCAGATGCTCTGCTGGAGAAGGAGGGACAATCTCCTCCTGTACCAGTCAGATCCAATTTGACGGTACACACACACAAAACAGTAAAATAAAATTTAAAAAAAAGTCAGAATAGAAGATATATACTGAACAAGAAATCTACCTCATCATTTTCATCAAAGACAGGATTAATTTTCTCAGGCCACAGCAGAACATTTGCATTTAAAGTTAAGTCTTCTGGAGGAAATAAATAAACATCTAAAAAGTAATTCATTCGGCGTTTGGATTCCTACAAGAGAAAATGCATATGTAAGACACATTAGAGAAAGTCAAAAGTATCATGAAAAAGAGGACAATCAACAATTTATAATATTTCAAATTTCAATTAGACTTAAATTATTAACTGTTATTTTAGACAAAAACAATAAAATAAAGTTAAACTAGATCTCAGCTGTAAAAAGCTAAATATCTACTCTAAATAATAATCCATGAGCAATTACATGAGTATTTTTTTGAGGTTTTAATGAAAGATTATGGAGATTTCCATTCATTCATTGTTACACATTTTCTCCCTGCCCACCCTTCCTCCCCAGGTCACTTTTCTCTTTGAAAAGAAAAAAAATCCTTCATTGTTATACAATTCCCTGCCCCCCATCCACATTACTATGCAGCTCCTATTCTAGACTTTTGTCATGCAAACAATACCCAATCATATAACCCCTTTAAATAGTTCTCTCCCTCATCTATTTCAATGTACTGTACATTCTTTACCCCTCTTTTCCTAGTTTCCCCTCAAACTCGATGTCAGTCCTATTTTATAACAGTGGCATTATGCCATATTTGTCTTTTTGAGACTCAGATATTTCACTCAACATAATGTCCTCCCCATGGTTACCAATTTTGTATTTCATGAGTTCCTTGTTTTCAATGCTGCATAGTATTCAGTGTGTGAATATACCACAGCTTCTTTATCCATTTTTTCGTTGGTGGGCACTTGGGTTGTTTCCAACTCTGCTATTGTGAACAGAGCAGCAATAAACATACGTGTGACAGTTCTGGTTTCTTTAGGGTATATTCCCAGTAGCAGAACTGCTGGGTAAAAAGGTAGTTCTATCTTTTTGAAAAAGCATCATACTGTCTTCCATAGTGGTTGCACTACTTTACACCCCCATCAACAGTAAATAAGGGTTCTAGTTTCTCCACAATCTTGCCAGCAATTGTTGTTTGCTGCTCTGTTGAATTTTGCTATTTTTTACTGGGTGAGATGATATCTTATAGTTTTTTTTGTCACATGAGTATTTTAATAATTATAACTTCTATTTGGCTTCATACCAATAAAAATGTATACATTTATATGGGAAAATTATTTTTTTCTTTTCACTTGCAGTTGATTAACAAAACATGTTCTTGATTGTCTTTACACATGACCAGAAACTGTGGTCACATGTACAGCTTTTGCTCTGCAACTACTTTAATTTTCCATTTTTATTTATTTGCCTTTTAATCTTTAGAAACAAATATTTCAACATAATTTTTTAAAATACACCTTTAATAACATTACCCTTTGCTACCTACTTAGAATGTGGGGTCAAGATTGGTGGAAGATCTCTCAACAATCTGCGTTATGCAGATGACACAACTCTGCTTGCAGCAGAGGGTCAAGGACTGCAGCCTTCAGTATGGATTGAGGCTCAATGTCAAGAAAACAAAGATTCTCACCACCGGACCCACTGGCAGCATCAGGATGGATGATGAAGAGATTGAGATTGTTCACAGCTTTAGTTTGCTTGGCTCCACAGTCAACACTCTTGGCACCAGTAGCCAGGAAATTAAAAGACGTATTGCCATGGGTAAGTCTACTGTTAGGTACCTTTCCAAGGTACTGAAGAGCAATGGTGTCTCTCTGGAGACTAAGGTGCATCTGATACAGGCCATGGTCTTTGCAATAACTTGTCATGCATCAGGGAGTTGGACAATGATAGAAGGACAGAAAGAGAATTGATACCTTTGAGCTGTAGTGCTGGAGTATTGAGGGTACCATGGACTGCTAGGAAAACAAACAGACTCATCCTGGAAAGGGTTAAACCGGATGGCTCCTTAGAGGCAAGGATTCTGAGGCTTTAACATACTTTGGACATGTTGTAAGGAGGGACAAGTCCTTGGAGAGGGACATCATGCTTGGGAGGGTGGAGGGACAGTGCAGGAGGGGAAGGCACTCTATGAGGTGGATTGATTTGGTGACTGGGGTAATTGGGATGGGTGTGTCAGAGACAGGGCGATTGGCACAGGACAGAGCAGAGTTTAGGGCTGTTGTACATATGGTCGCTATGAGTTGCAGGCGACTCGGTGGCACATAACAACAGACAACAACAACCTACTTAGAATACAGTAAATAGTCTGGCAAAAGTGAGGGAACGAAAATGGTAAAAGGAAAAAAAGTCTTTTAAAATCAATATATTAACCTGGACAGAGAAGCTGAGCATTTTCATGATAAGTTCTGTTGATGTAGTAGTAAAAGTACTCATTCGCTAACCAAAATGTAAGTAATTTGAATTTGCTCCAAAGAATCAAAATATAGCATGTACTTCTGCAAAGATTTAGCGCCTGGAAAACCCCATGAAGCAGGTGAGCTCTGTCCTATAAACTCTGGAAAACCCCATGAAGCAGGCATGTTCTGTCCTATAGAGCATGGAAAGATCCAAACTAATAATTTTTTTTTAAAGTGAACTTAAAGAGAGGGAAAGGAAGAGGAGGGATGAAAATATGCAGCAATGAATGAATGAAAATGGCACTTCTCTGTAAACTTTTGTTAAAATTACAATTAATCATAGCATTGCACAATTCTATGGGTGGCTGGGGTGAAGAAAATGAGAAGGATCTTTTGTGGAAAACAATGTATTAAGGCTTTGTAAATAAATCAGTATAGAATTTTTTTTTAAAAAAATCAACAATAGCAAAAGTCTGAGAAGTTCTTAGAACTAAGAGAGGTTTAAAAAGACAATGTCGCCCTAAGAGAGATGCAAATTAAAACAACTATGAGATATCATTTCACCCCAGTCAAAATAGCAAAATTTAACAGAACAGCAAGCAACAAATGCTGGC